TGGCAGTCTGTTGGTGATCTCTTTGATCCGGTAGGAGAAGATCTTCCGTGCTTGCAGTATGTTATCTCCAAGACAAAGCACTACATGTAGGAACAAATGTCTGTCCCTGGAGATTCGGTCGGGTGGGATTTCCACTGTCATCCGAAAGCACTGACTCCGTGTGGAGTACCAGGGTAGTCCAGCTTCTCCGGCTTTGCGTTTCGGCATGGCTGACTACTTTACACTTAAGCAGCATGCTAAGCGAACCAACACTGCAGCAAAAGAACATGTACCGCCAAGGGACATACGAACCTTCACTTGCGGCGTAATCTTCTTTTTTGATGTTCGCATCTGCGTCTTGTGTCTTAGTCGGTGTCATGAAACCAACAAAGATGCCGCCCTTGTCGTTGGTGATGCTCTTCTGAACTTTGCGATAGAGACGTATGGGAGCAGTTCATGATGGCAAGCTCAGGGTTGCTGCGATGTTCAGCTTCACACTGTTGACAATTGCATGTGCAGTTGACTCCCCCGAACATGTAGCGTGACTCTCGCGCAATTTTGCGAATGATGTATTCGGCGAGTTCAAGCATCTGCACCATGCTGAGTTGATTGACGATTTGGTACAGGGTGTCGATCTGCGTAGGTCCTGCTTGGCGAGGCACTTCTTGTTGACTCTCTCCGTCCCATGTGCGTCTTCCCCGGCGCATTGCTATGAGGCTCCGATGGATGGCTTGGGGAGAGGGTGGGACAGAAATACTATGAGCGCTACGCTCGAGACAAAAGCTTAGAAAACGCACAGGTCTCTTATTGTAGTAGTTGCCCAGGCGCATCTGCGGTGCTCGCGCTTTCTTTTCCGTGGCTGTGTGTAGCTTTAGTCAGCATGATACCAGCAGAGATGGCGTCCATGCCAAATGTGGTTCTCCTCCGAGCTTTGCGAGTGTGAGGTATGTGCGCATGTCTGGACGACGTAGTTGGGGTCGCAGTAGTTTGCGGCTTCACACTGCTGGCACGGAATGCAGCACCGAACTCCGCCGAACATGAACCGAGTGGCATTGCGCAATCTGCGTGCCACGTACTCTGCCAGCTCCAAGAGTTGTGAAATGCTGAGCTGGTTGACCACCTAGTACATGTCGTTGAGTTGGGCTATTGGTACGTCTGCACGACGTTCTGCTTCATCTGAATACCAGGCACTGCGTCCGCGAAGCATCGGTGCTATGCGAAGCTGGATATTATGGACTAGAAGCTGCTACAAGCTTGAGACAACAGAATCAGAAAAGCATCGAGATACAGTGTAACTACAAATTCTTGCTTGCATAGGTCTGTTTTCGTAGCTGGCGTCCCGCTTCTGGTGTTGAATTTGGCCGTGGTGTACAGCTGCATTGAATTATGCGAAGTTGAAGCCGAGCTTGCGTAGGAATCTTTTATCCTCTCTGCAAATGTCTTCAATACGATTGGTCGTGTAGGCAGAGATGATGACCCGGTCTGATTTCCATGGGCATGTGCCGTGAAGTTTGAATGGATTGAACTCTATACCGGGCAGCTTGAGTTCAAGGTTTCTACCACGATGTTGTCCGTTCGGAGATAGATCTGGACCGTCATCTTCTTCAATCCACATATGTCCTTGCCTGAAGGTCGTTGTAGGGATCACGATGTTGAGGCTTCCCGGCTTGTTGTACTTATCTCGATGGGTGCGCATATGTACGTTGCGAAGTAAAGAAACAGTGGAGAACTGGGTATGTGTGCAGGCTCGTACCATGTATGCCAGTGTCGCCGCTGTCCATGGTCTTTGTCTCGTGTTGGTGCGCACGCCAACGCTGCCCGCATGGTAGTAGGTGCCGACTGTGTAAGTCATTGCTCTTCTGCCTGCCCGGGTAATTGCCGAAGCTCGAAGGAATTCGGAGTTGAGCTTTGTGGAGAGCCATGGGAAGACTTCAAAGGGAATGTATCTTTGTTGGAGAAAAAGTTCGCATTCTTGTTCTACTGGATCATCTTTTGCTGCGGGAAACATTGGTGCGTTCATGTCCAGTGGTAGTCCATGTGGGAGTCGAACTGTATATTCCATGGTCTCGGAGTCGGTGTCAATGTCGGTGAGCTCTGTGATGTTTGTGTCGGCATGGGGGCGTTTCTTTTTAGACATGTTACTCCTGAAACTGAAAACTTGCTTCTTGAACCAAAAAACTAAAGGAACGAAACGAAAAGGCGCAGCCAAAGCATCCAAATCTGCCAAAACTGCCAAAACCTTGCATTTATCGGGACTCTGGCTGTTTTTCAAGGAGACGCGCAAATCCCAGGTCACCGTAGAGATCGTCCAACTCCTGAAGTTGTCGCTTAGCCACATCTGCGGGGTACGCGATGGTCCGAATCAGGTGTTTTCTGCTGTGGTACCCGCTGAGGCGCAGCTTGGCGGATCCAGCTGACTGTGGTAGGCGATATCTCCACGGCTCTCTGTGTAAGTTGTAGGTGATTTGGCGATTGTCGGCATGAATGCGAAATCCCAGAAAATCATCGCACGCTTCATCTTCGAGCTGCACTGGCTTCTTGTAAAAGTGCAAGGATGCCAGCTGTTGAATGTGTGGGTTGTGTTGGAGTTCGTCTTCCTCAACGATGATGGCTCTGTTGTCGACGTATCTGCGGATCCAGAACTTGTCCTGGATGTGGGCACTGCTGACAAACTGACCGTACATTCGTAGCCACGTAATTTCTGTGGCTACTGTTGCGCATGTCGAAAGGATGGGACTGATTTGATTTCCCATGGAGGTGCCGCATGTCTGCTGAAAGACTTCTCCAATTGCCGTAAACGCACAAGCGTCGAAGCTGAACTGAATGATGGCCGGTATGTGGTCTGCCTGCACCTTGATCATGTTGGACTTCAAGCTGTGTCGGGATTTTCCGGAATGCGCAGGCGCAATTTTGTTGTGCGGGTCGACGGTGATGGTGGGGTTGTGCTGGTCAAGGAACTGGGAGGTCAGGAAGTGGATGCTTTGTAGGATGTCAGACTGTGGTATTGAATTAAAGAAGCCGACCAGATCGTGGTTGAGGAATTTCAGGTGTCGCTCTGGGTACAAGTGTTCGTTGTTGTGGAATAGGTGGTGTATTTCCTCCCACAATTGTGGCGAACTGACGTCACCGAAGTGGTTAGGCCAGGTAATCTTCAACATCTGTTGGAGCGCCAAGGCCGCGATCTTCAGCAACTTGCCGATGCACGTATTGCTGTACGCGATGATCGTCCTCCCCTTGGACCAACGCTTTTTGCGTTTCATAAGGATGTATCCATACGGAAGAGGCTTTTCGTAGGCCAGGAGTTTGGCGTAGTGCTTTGCGACCACCTTGGGTGTGTTTCTCTGCATGCTTTGCTTAATCTCTTCCGGGTCGGTGTCCAGCATGCGGAAGGTTTGCTTGTCCATCCAGGTATTGTAGGCTGCTTGGTTGTAGATGTTCGGGCAGTAGATCATGAGGTGCGCGTTGGCGTGGTCCTCGTTGTGCACGATGTACTCATCGGGAATCATGGCTAAGATGTTCTTAGCCAATCTGTGCGTGAGCCTTGGTTCTCGTTGCAGCTGTAGTCTGTGTTGCTTCCACTCTTGTTCGAAGAAGGTGTCAAAGTCGTCGAGTATGCGTTGATCTCGAGGAAACTGATGATGCTTGAGCCATCGTTGAAATTGCTCTTGATGCTGTATCTTGATGCGGTGCTTGGAAGAATAAAATGCGTTGCCCGCCCCGACGTTGCTGAAGGCCTGATTTGTAGTAGGTAGTTGTAGAGTTTCAAGTCCAGTGACCACGTGTCCGTCATGTACTTGGGCGCTCGGGTGCTGCTTGATGAACTTGGCGCATTGGCACTGTATGGGTTTCCAGTGTCGGCCCATGTCAGTGACCTTCCTCTTGTGGTTCCAAAGAACCTGTTGCAGCGAAGGGTGCGTCGCTTCCTGGACTGTCTTGGTGGGCAAGTGATAAGGTATGAGTACATGCCGGTGGGTCCTGCTGAGGTGTGCCAGGTACTTCTCGAGGTTGGTGCGGTAGGCTGAGTGTGCGAGAAAAGGAACCTTCAGCGGCTTGTTGTGCTTTGGGACGGATGCATTCTTGAACTGTAGGACTTTTCGTAGTCGCGCTCGAGCTTTGGATCTCCACGGCTGCTCCATGTGGTTGGCGAGTCTGTAGAGTAACGTGACTGTCTCTGCATCGTGCTTGCCGCTGCGTAGCTCTTTGGATGCCTCGAATTCTTGCTTGGTGTCGCTGGAAATGGAGTACAGCAGCTTCCAGAACTGGGCCTGCTTGGGGAGTGCGTTGACGAGCGTCGCTCTTTGTCCTTGTACTCTTCTTCGAAGCTTTTTGAAAAGTTGCCGTCCCAGGGTATCTGGTGGATGTCGGAGGTGTGGTTGTTGGTGCTTGGGAACCAAACCATGCGCCTTCTTTACCAACTCCTTCGTGACAAACGGGTAGTTCAGCTTGGGCTGCCATCTCTGGATGAGGCTATGCTCTTCGGCCCAGGCATCAATATACTCGGAATGCTGCGAAAGAAGAATGGTGCTGTAGTGCAGGTAGGTCTGAGAGTCGCTCCAATATCGAATGGCAATCTCAGTTTTGGGTAGTTTGAGCTGTTGTAGTTGGCGTAGTTTGGCAACTCTGTTGTATTCTCTTTTAGCCACAGTGATGTTGGTGGAGCCGACGTAGCAAAAGGATGCATCTCTGGTAGCAGTGGCATAGGTGTGCTTGTTGAGCCTTGGGAACAAAAGCTTGACGTACACTGCACAGGGCTGGGAGAATTTCTCGAACGTGTAGAGTTCTGGGACCGCACCTTTTTCTCGAAGTCGCTCTTTGAGTTGCTCTGCTGCAGGCGATTGCCGCATTCTATGGAAGGTGAATACCAAATGGATAAGTCCAACTAACCACATCAAGATTTCTTTGTTAATAGCAAGAACGTGAAAAAGTAAAAACTGCCCCCAATCTACTATTTGCTGTAGCTGCTGGAAGATTTTGGCACTCTCGTCGTGCGCTAGGCGTCCTCTCAGGATCTTCTGCACGTGTCACACGGCGAGGTAGGTGACGGCTGCGATCAGCTGCTGGAGGTTCTTAGGCGTGACCTTGGGTGCTGTTGTGAGGGATATAGGAAGTCCCCAGCGCGTGGCCATCTCCTGCAGCTCCGCCTTGGTGTACTTTGCATTTTCAAGGATGGCCTGCACGGACTGTATGTGGTTGTCCACTTCTGCGTGCTTGTCCCGGGGAAGGCTCTTCTTGAGGTTGGCAACCCAAGTCGCAATCGAGGTCATACTTGCTGGTGGCTCTTGCCCACTGGAGCGGATCACGTTGTGTGGCTCTGCGATGATGTCTTCATTCCGCTGCTTGATGGCACCTTTGGTGAGGCGTCTGCGCTTTGGTGGAGCTGTCGTTGCTTCTGGGCCATCCGCTGGCTCGGCCTGTAGTGGAAGCGACTTTTGGGGGGTGACTTCAAGGCCGGCGCTGCGTAGGCGTTGTTTGTACTTCGCGGTCTCTTCCTCCAAAGCCTGCATGCGTTGTGCTGCTTGGTTGTCGCCGTCGGTGGTGTTGGCGGCATAGTTGCGCGCTTGCGCCCACGGTTTGATAGCATCAAAGATGGCGTCAACGAGTGGCGTTACAAAGGTTACGGCCTCTTTCACCTTGTCAGGGGCTTTTTGGCCTTTGCTTTTGTAGATGGCGTCGACGGTGGCGTCCACATCGATGTTGCTCTCGCGAAGCTTCTTCTGGAACTGGGACAGAAATACAGTCTCTGCGATGTTGCGAGTCAATATCATGCCTGTGAACTTGCCGTGCGAGAGTCCTCGAAGTCCAAACTCCTCCATGCCATGCCTGCAAAGGTGGGCGACGGTCACGTCACGGACGTCCATGCCTGCAAGTCCTTTAGCACGGCTCCAGGCCGTGGGTTCAACGCACCTCTTCAAAGTTGCTTTGAATACGAGATTCTTATCATAATGGTCCTGGTCCTCTGCAATTTTACTTGGAAGGGGCATGCGTGCCGTTGTTGCCGACGTTGTTGGTGTGCCCACTGCGTTCCCTGCTTCTGATGGTGTGTTACACGGCGGTGGCGGCGGCACGGGTTGAGTAGGCGGGGTATGTGGACTTGTAGCAGGCGGTGGCAAAGGCGGCCACGTAGGCAAGGATGTCGTTGTCGAAGCGGACGCTGGTGTAGGCGTAGGTGCAGATGCCGGTGCTGGTGTTGGTATCGATGTCTGGGGCCACCATGATGTACTGCCCTGACTCGCTGCACTGCCGCTGGCTGCCTGCCACCAGGCTGACTCCGATCCCTGAGGCCAATATCCGGTCCACATGTTGGCCATTGCTTGCGAATCTTTTGCGGTTGGTTAGGGCACAATCTGAATACAAAAAGGCTAGCGAAAGTCAAGCTTAAATCAATAAATCAAGAAAGAGGCTTCAGGTTGACGCTGACAAGCTGAGCACCTGTGTCTTTTGCTGCGAAGAAAGCATGCTGCGGCGTCGCAGGTGTTGACAGGCATTGCCTGGAAGAAACCATGGAAGATCTGCCTCATCTGGCAAGGGCGCCGTCCAGAAGGATGCGGTAGCGCACTATAGCAGTGCCAGTCTTGCTCTTCCTTGTGGGGCGATGCCTGCGGCCTTCTGGTACTGCGAGATGAGGGTATTCGCTGTGGAAGGCGGCGTCATCAGCTGTTCAAACGCAATGCATGTAAAGCAATATCGATTGCGAGAAACGCAATAAGCTTTTGCATTGGCGTCCTTGAGCACCTCGTCCTCTTCAGTAGCTGCACGGGCCGTCTCGTAAGAGCCACCGAGATGCCTTCTGAGGGAGCCCCACGCTCTGCCGCCAGCCACGATGCCCGCTAAGTTTTTTGCACTGCGCGTGGCGTTGAATATCACCCTGGTCAGGTTATGTTCATCCATGTCGGACCCACTCATCTCATGCCCCAGTGCGTAAAAGATATTACATCCGAACGCTGCCACTCCATGCGCGTTCATCGGTCTCATGTTCCGCTCCTTCAACATGTTGAACAAGGCTCCGACGTCTGTTGCATGCGCCCAGAAGAGAATCTTTTCTTGCCGCGTTGGCAGAGGGGGGTCTCGCAGCGTGAGATCTGCCGATTGGAGAAAGTAGAATCTCCTCATTGTCTCAGGCGTTGGATCTCCTCCTCTGTCCCATGTGAGGTCATGCTCCAAGAGAACACCACTGCTGACCGGGAACTCCGCTGCCGCGGAGAGTGCATCAATATATTGTTTGGTGGAGTCATGGATGGGAAACTGCGGGATCTCGATGTCCCGCCAGTTGACTCTGTATTGCTTGATGCTCCTCGGGAAGGTGATCTTGGACGGCATTCGCGGAGTCTCATACATCTTGGGGTCGATCTTCGCCGGCTGCGGTGGTGCCTTCGGCATGGTTGAGGTTCTGCTGATAAGACCCGATGCCCTTGATCTCTGCATTGTCCTGGGAGAGCGGGATCTGGATGTTGTCCTGGGAGTGCGGGATCTGGATCTTGTCCTGGGAGTGTGCGATCTGGATTTTAATACTGCTCTCGGTCTGGTAGTCCTCGAATCACTCGGGCTCCGCTGTCTGTGCTCACGTCTGGGAGACCTGGAATTCATGGCTCTCTTTCGCACCAACAAAGGTCTGGTGGGTCGTGCGCTCGATGATGCTGCGGATGGTCCTGATGGCAGCGCGGGCAGTCCTGACGATGAAGTAGGCCTCGGCGTGGGCGGAGCTTCTCCTGCTCCAAGTTGGTCGCTTCTTTGAAAGTATGGCCGGGGGGACATTGTGCGTCCCTCATGTTTGCGGAAGGCGGAGAAGGGCTGAGCTTTTCTCTTGGCCTTTGCGCCAGATTCAACTGCGCTCTGC